AATTTCAAAATACACCGGCATTTTGTCAGTGATGAAGTTTCTGGACCCCTGAATGAAGAATGCTGCCATTAAGACTCAAGGAGTAAAGAGAGGCCACAGGTTCTGCAAAGGTGGAATTGCTTTTTTGTGCCCCAAAGAGGAGGAATGATGGTGATTGGACATCTCTATTGAGAGGGACTGAACCAATAGTCTTTCGGTTGGACAGTCTATCAAGAGAAGTTTGACAGGAAGATTCCCAAGACTCTTAAACTCACTGACAAATAGCCCTTACTCCTGATCTCCATGGAGACAAATGGCAGTGTCTTCAAGATATTGCAAGGGACTACAAACTGCTGGACAGGAAGTGAAGGACCCAAGGAAAGGGGGAACTTTTCATTCCTTCTTGTTGAAGGTCCAGGCTCTGAAAAGGAGGAAAGAAGACTGTGTGAACTGGCTGTACAGAATCCAAACGGAGAATGGTTTGGATTCTTTGATAATGGATTACATTTCAGAGATGAAGGACTCTGGCCCTCATGAGAACTGAGAAACAGGAGTTCAGAAGATACCTTACCAATCTGATCCAGAGGGATTTAACTGAATCCTGAGTGGGAGGTGAGGGATCTCCCCCAAAATAGTACAATCCAAGAACAGGACCCAGAGGGACACGCAAAATCAAGAACATTGTCCAATCCACTCCTTTTGAAACCCATCAACTCATAACCATTCCAAATAAGGTTGCAGTTGCTACCAATTCTTCAGATTCAGTTCAATCATTCCCCAACTCCAAGTCTATAGTGGCAAACAACAACAACAACAACAACAACAACAACAACAACAACAGATTTGGGGAAACTGTCCTTTTAATTACATTCATTAATCAGAAAAGATACTACTTGTCTTTTTTATTTTCTTCTCAGTTCAATGAATGTTCTCATCACCCCATTTCTGTTCTGTTTTCCCCCCCCCCTCTCCTTTTGCTGTTTCTGCTGGAGGTGTGAATGTTTTCTTTTTCGGTGTAAGACAAAAATGATTAGTTTATGGATATGAAGAATTAATTCAATAAATGAAATATTTTATAGGAAATTAATTTTATTCAATGATTGAAGACAGCTTTAAGTACAGGGAAAGGAAGAGGAACTGGACAGAGAGAAGAAAAGGAACAATAGCCGCATTTAGGTACTAGAGAATGCATTAAAGGCAAACAACCCTCTCAAACATGGGCCAGTCTTAATCTTCAGGCTTGTTATAATGATTTATGGTGTTCCAATATCTAAAGGACTGCTACAAACAAAGGAGAGAGGGTCAATTTATTCTCTAAAGTACCTGAAGGCAGAACAAGAAGTAATGAATGGAATCTAATCAAGGAGAGAATCAACCTAGAACTAAGGAGAAACTTCCTGGCAGAACAATTAATCAGTGGAATAACTTCCTTCAGAAGTTGGGGGTGCTCCAACATTGGAAGTTTTTAAGACGAAATTGACCAATCATATGTCTGAATTGCTTGAGCAGGGGTTGGATTAGAAGACCTCCAAGGTCCCTTCCAATTCTATTATTCTGTTCTGCACCTTCTGACCAATTCATTGTCCTCAGCATTGGGGATAAGTCCACCCACTCATTATTTGGCAGAGAGAACCCTGTCTTCTTGTTCGATCATTTTTCCATCCTTCTTCATACGCTGTTAATGGTCTTAACTAATGAGGTCTCAACAGTTTATGAAAAAAATATTGTATTTGACTCACTTGAAATTGGAATTTAAACCATTCATTTATAAACTCAGCTGCAAGGGGATTTCCATCCAAAATTCAATCTCTTAACTCCCTCTAACAAATGTTTTACCATCTCAGCTTATATTGAACAAATTTATCCTCGGGAATGAGAAAATCAGAAAGCCAAGCAGTTTAACTGTTTCCAAATTTCTGAAGTAAGTTTTAAAATACGAACGTAAGGAAATGGATAGTAATTTCTTAACGCTGTGGATGAACCCTATCACCCTGAATGAAAAAGGAATCGAATGTTAATATAGTTGCTGTGTGTTGAATATTCTTTGACTCCTAATGATGTAAATACTATTTTAATTGAAAACCATCCAACATTTAAAATTGGGGTCATGTTCCAACTTGCACCTGACTATGGTGAAAGGATGTTCCGGCCATTCCTTTTTTCTGCTGTTTCCCTTTCATGTTGCCTTCATCTCATCCCCATTCTGTGCGGCAGGTTTTAAATCATTATTATGTTAGTCGTACTTGTGTTAAAGCAGTGTTTTTCTCCTTATTCTGAGGCCCCCCAAGCTCAGCCTCAAGATCTGTAAGGTTGGTTAGGCTTTGTTAGACACTGACTTGGACAGAAGCCGGGGAAGAGATGCAAGAACGGCATCAGCAAATAGGGATAGCCAACATCCTGCCAACTAAGTATTTTGCTAAGAGAAGGGAAGAAAACACCTCAGCTCAACAGAGGAGGGAGGGGGGAATCAAGTTCGCAGTGCAATAAAAAAAAAACACCTCCTTGTTTAGAATTTTGCTATGGTAAACTGCCTCCACCTAGTGGAGATAGTGGTGCATTGCAATAAACAAAGTCCAGATTTCTCTTAGAAATACAAACACATTCACGATGGCATTTCCTTTCACAGGTATAAAATGTCTTGATTAAATGCAACTCTCCTAATTCTGCCTTAATTAAGATTTATTTCTGGCATCTCCAGTTAAATGATGGTTAGGGAGGAGAGGGTACAAAAAGGTTCTGTAAGAAGGGCAGCTGTCTGTCAAAGTCTGCCAATTGTCAGAAATGGTGTAGAGTCTCCTTCTGGGGGTGGGGGTTGGATTAGATGACCTACAATATCCTTTCCAACTCTGTTAATCTGTTAAATTAGGGAGTTAGAGAAATAGTTTGGCCTGTGTTTCTATTAATGTCATCCTCATTTAGTATCTCTGTTTTTCCTCCCCCACCTTTATATACACATATAAGGCAAATCTCCATATAGAGGATACAGCCTCTGATATTTTTAATGAAAACTTAAGAATACAAATTCCTGAGGACTAGCACCCCTCAAACTGGCAAAAAAAACAACAACCCAACAACAACCTAAGCATGCAAATTTCAAAAGCAACAGTGTTTGTGAATTAGAGCTGTCCACCAAATCTACAAGAGATTCTTCCATCTACTCGATACCTTTAAACTGTCAGAAAAAAGCATCTTTTTAGGTACAGGAGAATATACAGATCGCTTTGCTTCAGGAAGTAAGGGAAGATTTCACAGGCAAAGCAAATGTTCTGCAAAGGTTCTTTGTTAAATGTGAAATGTTTTCAGCTTAGGGTCCTTTATTTTTTTAAAAAATGAAAACACTAATCAAGCATCAAGACCAGGATCAGAAAAAGTTTCCAGTCTTCCTCCCAAATGTGAGGCTTTGTAACACCAGAGTCATTTGTTTTTCCTTCTGCTTTATAACCTTATATAGTCACTTGGCAGGAGGTGGGATACACACATCTAACCCAACTTCTTTGGAGGAAATCTGACATTCCTTTTCTGCCCACTGCATATCTGTATTTGGTTGCCCCCCAATTTTCAGAGCTCCCCAAATATCAGCTAAAGGTAGTGGTTCAGCAACGCTGCAGAGGGTGCAAGGGAAGCCAAGAATTACCTAGCAAGAATCCAGGAGCAAGTGGGAATTTACTGTCAAGGAATCCCATTTGTTTTTCTCCCACCTTCCTGAGCCTGGATCTCTTGCCAGCTGCCTCTGATGAAAGGCAATACATGATCAAGCCAGTCAAGAAGGAATTATGTTTATGGGACTCTGGCTTTCGACCCCCTTTTGATTCAGATCCTTACCAAATCCCTTCCTCATTTATTGCTTCACATTCCTGGAACTCCTTTGCAAAATGTCAAGCCAAAAGGCCTTGTCAAAAGGGCTTCCAACTTCACACTCAATGACATGTGTCAGTATGTAGGATTCCAGCCAAAGAGCTTTTCCTTAAGAATTCCTGGGTAGAACTGGATTTGAAGACCCAAAGGACACAGTCTAATGCTTTATAAAATAGCTCAATATTCTCATCAGCTTTTAAGAGCCCATTGGTCAGATATGCCCTGTGCAATCTCCCCACAGGACCCACTGAGGCATGAATGAAGCCCCTCCCTCTAGCCCTACCTTCTGAGAGATTTAACAGTGCGACCATGGTTAACCCATCAAAGGGTTCTGCCTGTTTCTCTTTCACAAGCAGACTCATGTCTTTCTTTGTAACCAGAACAATCTAGCTATGATGGGGTAGACCCACCAGGTCATGGTTTCTCTGTGCATATAGAAATGAAGACTGGTTTGAAGAAAGAGTCTGGTCTGCTTTTGGGGGCAGAAGTGCCTTCAAGTTATCCAAGACTGCCTGGACAAATCCCTGCAGGTTTTTTGACCGCATTTTTTTTTCAGAAATGGCTTTCAGATCTTTCGTCGGGCCCTGAAAACACATCTATTTCATCTAGCCGGGCTGGCTTGATCCCATCCTTGCCGTTTTAATTTGTAATTGGTTTTAATTGGGTTGTTTTAAATTGATGGCCAAAATTATTTAATGTTTTTTAAACTGCTTTTAAATTTTATATGTTGTGTTTTACCGTGGCTGTTCACCGCCCTGAGTCCTGTTAGAAAAGGGCAGTATACAAATTAAATAAGAATCAAGAAGTGTCCGTTTCAGCCGTTCTTCCTAGGACTGAGAGAGGGTGAGTGGCCCAAGGTCATCCAGCTGAATTTATTCCTAAGGCAGGACGAAAACTCACAGCCTCCTGGTGTTTACCCTGGTGCCTTCAACCACTATACCAAACTGGCTCTCGTTCTTCCATTCTTGCTCTTTGCGGAAAAGTCCTGCCAGGGAAGGATTCCATCTAGATGATGATACCACCTGGCCCCACGGGTGACGTCCCAGGAGGCCTCCCATCCCTCCACTGGAAACGAATCCGCAGCTGTTCTCGTCTACTTTTAGTTCAGTGGCGCATCACATGTTTTGTAGGCAGTCCATCCTAGCGTCAGTCTCTGAACTGAAAGGATCGCTCTCTGACCGAGAGTCCAGCAAGCTGTTTGCCTGTCAGAAGAGTTCGTTCTGGAAAAGATGGGAAGCGCCATATGCTAATAGCCTAGATCAAGTTACATGCGCGCCCTCCCACCCACGCACCCTCCTGCCACACGAACTGTGCCAAAGTTAGAGAGTTACAAGAGATTCCCCAGGGGCTCTCGGCTGTCCCATCTTCATCATTGTTAGCTCATTTTTTGCATCGCCGCCACAGTTCTTGTATCAGCCGGCTATTTGCAAGCAGCCCGGAGCAACAGCAAAAGGTCAGAGCAAATGTTTACATTTGCCAGACGGGTTTGGAAGACCGAGGCCCGGGAGGGCGAGTTGGCAGAGGTGATCAGCTGTCAGTGAAATCGGACTCACCGGAGGCCAGAGGGCGGGCTAGCAGAGGTGATCAACTATCAGTGTAATTGGACTCGCCGCATCAGTAGCATTGCCAGGACTGCTAGGCAGGTTTGAACATAAGTGGTTTAGGTTTTCAGGCCTACTGTGCCCTGCCAGAATTTTGCGAGGGTTTAGTGTGGCCATTTCCAATGGCTTGTGCTGCTCTGGGAGGCAGCTCTATAAATGCAAAGTCTTTTTTGCATTTGAGCTTCTGGGAAGGGCTCTGTTGTCTTGTTAGGGCTGACCACCATTGGCAGATCCAAGCTGTCTACCCAAGGATGGCCTAAGTGTTTAAGGGAGGGAGCTAGAGGGAGCTGCAGGTGAGTTATGGGACAAGCCTCTTGCCCCTTGTCCCTGGCTTACCCTTGCTGGAGACAGTGACGAGAGAAACTTGGCCCTGCTGTCAGCTGGATCCACGCCAAGCCATTTGTTTAGCTTCCCGGCTGGGGGTGAGGCGACAGCAGAAAGTTCCCTAGAGCAGGGCGGATAGGATGGTGCCTGTGCGTGTCTTGCTTTGGGCTTGAATAATGGCTGGGGTACCTTCAAGGAGCCACAAAAATCAGAGGACGGTGAAGTTCCTTCGGGGCCGGAATATCTAACGTTGTGGAGGCTGTCACGTCTCTGGACACAGAGCACCAATACATCAGGACAACAGAGCCGGAGGAACCAGAGAGAGAGCTGGCTTCTTGCAAATAGGATGGGTCCCAGCCGTGCTCCCTTCTGTGGCAGTGACGGTGTCCTTTTGGGGGCCCGTTTGCGCACGACATTGGGCATTTCCAGCTCCAGAGTCTAATTTAGCCTTTCGGCCATCAGCTACCCTCCTTGGCTTCGTGCGGAGCCTTGCGGGCGGTAGCTGTGGTGGTGGCAATTGCCTGAGTTCTCTGCCTCTGAGGAACAGCAGCCGGGATGTAAGTGGGGATGCTCTCCTCCTGCTCCAAGCTACCCAACTCCCCAGGAGTTTCCCCAGCCTCCAAGACCGACAGCTCACCTGTTCTCTCCAAGAAAATGAGCGTGATCCCCAATCTTCGTCTCCAGAGGAGGTTCACTGTGGCCCATCCGCTTTGGTAAGAGGATTGGGAGAGGGGGAGGGAGGACTTCTCTGGGGCCGTTGCATGCGCTCCTAGTTCAGAGGTTCATAATGATGAGCTTGAAGAAGGACAAACTAACATCTAACCCAATATCCTTTTTCTAGCAGCAGATCGTTAAATCTCTCTAGGAGCAATCCTCCCCTTTGTTTTCCAGTACTCACAGATTCTCCACAAAGAATTTCCACTTAGCAGTTAAACCTGTTCTTCATGGATATGTTTCACTCTCTTTTAAAGTAATCTCAAATATCCTGTCTGGGGAGGGGGGCGGGAGTTGCAAGTTGGCTCTCCACTGGATGAGAACAGGTATCCTGTTGTCTTGAAAGGGGAGGGGGGGTAGAAAGTGTCCTTCCGTTTAAAATTCCATTTACCATTTTCTGGACAAGTAAATGGTAAAGTAACTTGTTCATGCTTAAAGTTTGTTAGACGACGCCTCTGCCGGTCCATAGGAGCAAATCAGTTGTAGGATGAATAGGTATCTTTGATCAGATCGTCTTTTATGTTCTTTTATGATTAAATGGAACCTCCCACTGCAAAGTCACTCTATCTGGTAACATACAGTGGGAAAGAGCAGCTGTCTTCTTCCCTGCTTCTTCTGAGCTTCCTGCAGGCGTTTTGTCTTTTAAGGCTTTTGGAACTTGGAGGGTGGGGGAGATTGCCCTCCAAACAAAACAATAAATCAGCATTTAAGTAAGGAAATAAATCTGTTAAGTCTGTAATTGGGTAAAAAGGGATGTTTCAGATGTATTACAGTACTTTCTAGAATTTTTATGATTCTTGGCAACATAGGTTTGTCTTCTTTCCCCCCCCCCCCCTTCTGCACTCTGTTTTAACTTTGACCATGGTGTGGGGGAGAGAGATTGTCTCCCAAAGGGGAGAAAGATAACCTCAGTCCATTGTGAGATTCCTCCATCTCGCACAAACCACACACTCCCAGCTTGTTCTCGCCAAGTCCCTTCCAGCCGCATCAACAGCTATTTATAGGAGAGTTCCAGATTCCGAAAGTATCTTCCCCAATGGGGTCAGGAACAATTAAAGCAAACAAAGTGGGGTGGAATTCAAAACAAGAGTCGGGGAGGGATGGTTTGCCAAATGCTTTCCCTCCTCTGGTGAGTTGAGTGGGATGGAGGTTAAATTGAGCTGCTCCGTTGCGCTCATGGGGTGGGGGGTGGGGGGGTGTCCTCCGTTCACATACATACCTCCACACATCTGCTGCTGTTGTTCTGGGTCCTCGGTTTTTGGCTTTCCCAAAGCATCACGTGATATTTTGCACATTCCTGGAACACAATTTTAGAACCAGAGTTATTGGAAGGTGCCATTTAGACCCGAAGGTCCAATTCCCTTTATGGTGATTGGGTGCAGATCAAAGCATCCCCATTCACACAACTTGAAGAGCTTTAGTGAATTGGGGGAGGGGGTCGGTCGGGGGCTGCATAGGCTGCTGCTTCCACACTTCAGCTCTTTCCTTTCTGTGTTAGGAATGTTTTTCTTAACATTCAGCAGCTATTACGGATAGTCCTCATCTTATAGCTGTTCATTTAGTGACCATTTGAAGTTACAATGGCACTGAAAAAAGTGACTTACGACTCACACTTATGACCGTTACAGCCAGTGGTGGGTTTCAAATTTTTTTTTACTATCAGTTCTGTGGGTGTGGCTTGGTGGGTGTGGTATGGCTTGGTGGGCGTGGCTTGGTGGGCGTGACGGGAAGGATACTGTAAAATCTCCATTCTCACCCCACTCCAGGAGAAAGATACTCAAAATACCCATTTCCTCCTGATCAGCTGGGACTCGGGAGGCAGAGAATAGATAGGGGCGGGGCCAGTCAGAGGGGGTATTTACCGGTTCTTCGAAGTATTCAAAATTTCCACTACCGGTTCTACAGAATTGGTCAGAACCTGCTGAAACCCACCTCTGGTTGCAGCATCCCAGTGGCCACACGATCAAAATCCAGGCACTTGGCAACTGTTGTGTGTTTGTGACGGTTGCAGCGTCCCAGAGTCATCGGGTTGCTATTTGTGACCTTCTCTGCCAGCTTCTAACAAGCAGAGTCAATGGGGGAAGCCAGATTTGCTTAACAGTGAAGTGAATGTGATTCACTTAAACAACTGTAGTCATTCCCTTAACAACTATAGCAAAAAAAAAAAAATGATCATAAAATTGGGCACAACTCACTTAACAACTGACTTACTTAGCAACCAAAATTCTGGTCCTAAATTGCGGTCATAAGTTGAGGACTACCTGCATTCCACATCATTCTTTTGTGGGGAAGGTAGAGATTTCTTGGCCTTTTTCTACAGGTATTTTCAATGTGTCGTGATGGAGGCTGAACGTTCCCAGTTCTTCAGTCTCTGCTTGCAGCGCTTAAGGTGGGACTGGATCCGTGAAGCATTTAGTGGAGCTGTTACTTCTCTTGATTTGAATGTGATTCTTTAAGCGGGAATGGCAGTGAGAGAAGCGGAAGGAAAGGACACGCTAACGTTTTCCTGGTAGACTATGCTGGATTTGTCAAAGCCAGAGATATCTTGGGTTCATCCAAGCTTGCTGAACTCCAGGCAGGGCCTAAAGAAATGGCTTTGTTCACAGAGAAGCCTTAATCGGTTCCGTTAAAGAACTGACCCTGCATGTTCCCAATACAGTTAACTTAGTTAGGATGGCTTTGCCTTGTTTACTTTTCTTTTGAAGGCTTGCAGGCTGTACAAGCCTAGCAGCTGACTTGGTTATTTTAGGGTTTGCGTGAACCTAGGGGGAAAAAATTGGCTAAGGGTGTAGGGTGTATATAGGCCTTGCAGTTTAGCTTGATAACCTGCTTTACACCCAGCGGTGGGTTGCAGATTATGTTACTATCGGTTCGCCCCACGTGTGCACACTTGCTTCATGCGCGCTCCTGCCTTCCACGCATGCGCCCGGCCCTTGGTGCATGCGCTTTGTTGTGCATACGCCTTCCGTGCCTGCACCTGGCCTCAAAAATGTGCCTAAATAGGATGGCATAGCGCCTGGGCAGGTGGGCAGGCCCACCCGCGATTTCCGCTACCAGTTCGGGCGAACCGGTCCGAACTATACCACCTCTCTTTACACCACAGGGAACAGCAACTGGATTCCCCTAACATGTCAAGTCACAGACAACCAAGAAAAAAAAAGTTGTGTGTCAGATGACAAGGTGACCTTGCTCGCTCTTACTGGAATGTCCCCTCCACCAGTGACTTCAAAAACAGCCATCTTGCCTTTGTTCAATTTGTGCCTTTCTTGGCTTTTGAAGTAATGTTTGGTTTGCTTGAGTTTGAGTTTGGCTTCAGGTCCCTGCCTGAACTGCTGAAAACTCTGGAGTTTTCCTACCAATTTTCAGAAAAGTGGGTTTGTGTCCATCTGTTTGAATGGAAACTGCATGACTAGAGGAAGTCTACCTCCAGGGATAAGCACTGGGCGGGGCTGGTTCTTTCCTCCCTGCTTATGATTTCCTGCCATTCGTGAGCTGCCCCGCTGTTTGCAAGTGAAATTTGCAAATATTGCAAATATTAGATGAGGGAATAGAAAGGGAACTCATCCAATTTGCAGACGACATTAAGCTGGCTGGAACAGCCAACACCCTAGATCAGGGGTGTCAAACTTGCAGCGTCACATTGTAGTCACATGACGTATCGCACCTTTTTTTCCCCTCTTCGCTAAACCGGGCGTGGGCATGGCCAGCGCGTGACGCATCCGGCCAACTGGTCACGAGTTTGACACCCCTGCCTTAGATGATAGGCTCAAGATCCAGATAGATCTCAGCAGACATGAACACTGGGCCCTATCTAATAAAATGAAATTCAACTTAGACAAAAATAAAGTCTCACACTTAGGCAAGAAAAGCAAAAGTATACGTACAGATTAGATGAAACCTGGCTTAACAGCAGTAACCGTGAGAGGGATATTGGAGTCTTAGTGGACAACCAATTAAATATGAGCTAAAAGTGTGTGGCAGCAGCCAAAAAAGCCAATGCAATCCTAAATTGCATTAACAGAGGGACTGAATCAAGATCATGTGACATGCTAGTACCACTCTACAAAGCCTTAGTAAGACCACACCTAGAGCAGGGATGAAATCCAGCAGGTTCTGACAGGTTCTGGAGAACCGGTAGCGGAAATTTTGAATAGTTCGGAGAACCGGCAAATACCATCTCTGGCTGGTTTGGGAATGGAGATTTTGCAGTATCCTTCCCCTGCCATGCCCATCAAACCACTCCCATCGAGCCACTCCACACCCACCAAGCCACGCCGATAGAACCGATAGTAAAGAAAATTGAATTTCATCACTGACCTAGAGTACTGCATCCAGTTTTGGTCACCACACTTAAAAAGATGTTGAGATTCTAGAAAGAGTGCAGAGAAGAGCAGCAGAGATTATTAGTGGCCTGGAGGCTAAAGCATACGAAGAACGGTTATAGGAACTGGGCATGGCTAGTCTAGTGAAGAGAAGGACCAGGGGAGACATGATAGCAGTGTTCCAATATTTGAGGGGCTGCCACAGAGAGGAAGGGGTCAAGCTATTTTCCAAAGCACCTGAAGGCCAGACAAGGAATAATGGATGGAAATTGACCAAGGAGAGATTCAACCTAGAAAAAAGGAGAAATTTTCTGACAGCGAGAACAATCAATCAGTGGAACAGCTTGCCTTCAGAAGTTGTGGGAGCTTCATCACTGGAGGCTTTCAAGAAGAGACTGGACAGCCACTTGTCAGAAATGGTGTAGGGTCTCCAGCTTAAGCATTGGGTTGGATTAGATGACCTACAAGATCCCTTCCAACTCTGTTATTCTCAGATTGTAATGCGTTAGATCAACTGTGGAGTTAGTAAATGGACCTTCCAAAACTCCTGTGTTAGCAAAATGAAACCTTCCTGTACTGAAAAAGTCTACCTCTGCCTGTCTTCAGTCAGCAGACTTTATTTATCAGGCAGCAATGGGCTATTTGTTTTAATTTTGCTTTTTTTCACAATAGAAAGA